ATTCGGTCCTACCTAAGTTGCAGTATTCGATTGAAGGGGTTGTAAATTTTGTGGTCGGTCAAATATTTATATTTCCTTAATGAATTAAATTATAAAGAACTACAAGCAACCCCTCATTTGCCAAGTATAAGTAAAATCTCGTCCCGTATTAGAAATTCGTAAGTTTAATGAAAATTCGCTCCTACATAAGTTGCAGTATTCGATTGAAGGGGTTGTAAATTTTGTGGTAAGTCAAATACTTATATTTCCTTAACGAATTAAATTAAAATGAACTACAAGCAACCCCTCAGTTGCCAAGTATAAGTAAAATCTCGTCCCGTACTAGAAATTCGTAAGTTTTATGAAAATTCGCTCCTACCTACGTTGCAGTATTCGATTGAAGGGGTTGTAAATTTTGTGGTAAGTCAAAAATTTATATTTCCTTAATCAATTAAATTATAAAGATCTACATAACCCTTCAGTTGCCAAGTATAAGTAAAATTTCGCCCCGTATTAGAAATTCGTAAGTTTTATGAAAATTCGCTCCTACCTACGTTGCAGTATTCGATTGAAGGGGTTGTAAATTTTGTGGTAAGTCAAAAATTTATATTTCCTTAATCAATTAAATTAAAAAGATCTTCAAGCAACCCCTCAGATGCCAAGTATAAGTAAAATCTCGTCCCGTACTAGAAATTCGTAAGTTTTATGAAAATTCGCTCCTACCTACGTTGCAGTATTCGATTTAAGGGGTTGTAAATTTTGTGGTAAGTCAAAAATTTATATTTCCTTAATGGATTAAATTAAAAAGATCTACAAGCAACCCCTCAGTTGCCAAGTATAAGTAAAATCTCGTCCCGTATTAGAAATTCGTAAGTTTTATGAAAATTCGCTCCTACCTACGTTGCAGTATTCGATTGAAGGGGTTGTAAATTTTGTGGTCGGTCAAATATTTATATTTCCTTAATGAATTAAATTAAAAGATCTACAAGCAACCCTTCAGTTGCCAAGTATAAGTAAAATCTCGTCCCGTATTAGAAATTCGTAAGTTTTATGAAAATTCGCTCCTACCTACGTTGCAGTATTCGATTGAAGGGGTTGTAAATTTTGTGGTAAGTCAAAAATTTATATTTCCTTAATGAATTAAATTAAAAAGAACTACAAGCAACCCCTCAGTTGCCAAGTATAAGTAAAATCTCGTCCCGTATTAGAAATTCGTAAGTTTTATGAAAATTCGCTCCTACCTACGTTGCAGTATTCGATTGAAGGGGTTGTAAATTTTGGTAAGTCAAATATTTATATTTCCTTAATGAATTAAATTAAAAAGATCTACAAGCAACCCCCATTTGCCAAGTATAAGTAAAATCTCGTCCCCTAGAAATTCGTAAGTTTAATGAAAATTCGGTCCTACCTAAGTAGCAGTATTCGATTGAAGGGGTTGTAAATTTTGTGGTCGGTCCAATATTTATATTTCCTTAATGAATTAAATTAAAACTACAAGTAACCCTTCAGTTTCCAAGTATAAGTAAAATCTCGTCCCCTATTAGAAATTCGTAAGTTTAATGAAAATAAATTCAGTCCTACATAAGTTGCAGTATTCGATTGAAGGGGTTGTAAATTTTGTGGTCGGTCAAATATTTATATTTCCTTAATGAATTAAATTAAAAAGATCTACAAGCAACCCTTCAGTTGCCAAGTATAGGTAAAATCTCGTCCCCTAGAAATTCGTAAGTTTTATGAAACAACGCTCCTACCTAAGTTGCAGTACTCGATTGAAGGGGTTGTAAATTTTGTGGTCGGTCAAATGTTTATATTTCCTTAATGAATTAAATTAAAAAGATCTACAAGTAACCCCTCATTTGCCAAGTATAAGTAAAATCTCGTCCCCTAGAAATTCGTAAGTTTAATGAAAATTCGGTCCTACCTAAGTAGCAGTATTCGATTGAAGGGGTTGTAAATTTTGTGGTCGGTCCAATATTTATATTTCCTTAATGAATTAAATTAAAACTACAAGTAACCCTTCAGTTTCCAAGTATAAGTAAAATCTCGTCCCCTATTAGAAATTCGTAAGTTTAATGAAAATAAATTCAGTCCTACATAAGTTGCAGTATTCGATTGAAGGGGTTGTAAATTTTGTGGTCGGTCAAATATTTATATTTCCTTAATGAATTAAATTCAAATTTGCAGCCACATACGGATTTAATTGCAAAGGAAGTGGTCTCAGTGCTGAGATCTAAAACCCTCACAAAGCGAATGACTTTTCACTTTTTCAGAACATTTTCTTATAGATTTTGTCGAGGATTGTGTACTGTGTAGAATCCAAAACATCGACAATGTTGGAGATTGGACCACCACATTAAAAGCGATTTCGGCCAATGGCCTACAAATGTGGCCAAATCGCGTTCTGCCACCATTGTTAAACGTTCGAAAACCCGCTGTCCGTCAGTAATGTTGCCCAATAAGGGTAGTTTATATAAAGTAGTTTATTCCAAAAATGTTATTGTCCAATCCAAAACGAACAGAATTTTCAAAATAGGACTAGGTACTATATCCAAACTTACATCCCTTTCCTTGCTGTTTGTAAAATCGTTTCTTGTCCACTATACGGACTATGGATGTAGCAGTGCAATCTGTAAGGGAGTTACAATCCCACTTGATCCCATGTGAAATAAACAACAAAAATTTTTCTTGTCCAGTTTGTAGTAAAGGATTGGTATAAAAATCTATTACCATAGAGGAAATACAATGGTATTACCTATAAATGACGCGTCTTTTAACCCGATTTAGTTATATGTAGCACAAATTTGAATTAATCTACTGTTTAATTTCTCAAAAGCACTCGATCAAATTCACTCGGCGCAGTTTGATCGCACTAGCTATACAGTAAATTTCATTCTCTTTGTAATGGGCAAGGAATCAAAAAATCCCGCCCCTCAAAAACTAAGGAGTACCTAAGTGTCCCAGCGCATTTTAATTTATTTGCTTGGAAAGTTTCTCGAAGGGCCAACCAATCTTTAATAAAATAAAGTTAGACAAAACTCACCCTTTTCACGT